CATGTGTTTTGTGGACCTAGACAAAGCGTATGACCGGATCCCACGCAACAGTCTGTGGACATGCCTTCGTGCATACGGGACAGATGGCCAGCTTTAAGGGCCATCCAGTTACTGTATTCTGATAGCAGGTGCCGTGTCACAGTTAATGGCGTTGAGTCGAAACCATTCAGTGTTCGCACTGGTCTCCGCCAAGGCTGCGTCCTGTCCCCTGTCCTGTTTGTGTTGAACACAGACAGAATAGTCAGGAGCTGCCAAGGCGATGAGGGTATTAGAGTAAGAGATTTAAAAACCAGAAGGTTGCTGCTTGCAGAACGACCTTGTTTTATTAGCATCTTCTGAAACTGATCAACGGCGCTCTCTGGAAATGTTCGCTTCCCTGTTTGATGTGGTCTGTCTGTGAAGGGAAAACGAAATGACTTAAGGTTGCTTGTTATCTCACTTGTCGTTATCTGCAGAGGAGCGACAAGCAGTGGAACAAATGCAAGAGTTCACGTGCCTCGAGGTCCTGCATACTGATAATGGGAAATATGAGGAAGAGACCGACCCTCGACTTAAAACGGCATTCTTCGTGAACTGGCCTGAACCGCTGTGATTAAAGCAGAACTGACTCTGAAGACTAAGCTCATTCTAGTCGTCTAAGACTCAACCACGTCGATCCTCATTCCGTCGCTCATCCGCAGTCATGAATCGTTTAGCCCTCTCTGAGCAACTTTGATCCCGAGTACAACCGGCTGAAATGGATTCTCTGCTCACGTTTCGACATGGTCAGGCGAACAGATATCCGACAGAGACTCGGTGTACAACGGCTACTTTTCCACATTGAGATATCGCACTTACGGTGGTTTTGGCAAATCTTGAGAATGTTGCGAAAAAGGACCACGAAACAGTTCCTACAGGCCTAACGGACCAGATAAAGATCCGGGAACGTGTATCGAAGAACTCTGCTCCATACTCGGGTTTCGCTGAAGCTCAAATTCTAGAGCAAAATCACGAACGTTGAGCACACTGTCTGGCGCAACCGGAAAGGATAAGCGGCTATCGAAATTGCTTACTGACTGACTGACCGAACGACCCACTAATTAATATTTTTTAATGATTATATGTTTAATAATTGATCGTTTGCCCCCTTTGTTCTTTGACTTACATCTCAGCTGTTTGCAACAGGTACTTTATCGCAAAGGTGTGCGATTTGTCATACGACCGTAAACTCGTTCAGTTGCGTAAGCAACGACTGATTCTGACACTAAAGACATGTTTATTCACGCAGAAATGTACGGTGCATGTGAATGTCACAGATCGCCCTTCCGTTGACGCAAAACTCATAACCATGCATCACGAAACACTTTTTTTACAGAAAGCTTTGCGCTTTTGGACATGTTCATTCTGTCAAGCCTGATTGATTACTTTGCAAATGGATGGTTGTTTTGTGGTATAAAGATGATTGATTCATGTTATACCAAACTGTTAACTGAGAAACTAGTGAAACAAAATTATTCGTTCCTGGAGCATACTAGGAATGGCGACTAGAATTCGAAGCGCTTGAACTGAGAATCAATTTATAATTCGAGCAGATGAGCGGTTCCAAAATAAATTCAGAAGCAAAATTACTGCACGCACGAAACTATGCTAAACCGTTATCAATTCTGTTGTTTTATAACATGCCTATACGGGAGTCTTCAGAACGATGTCCCATCGAAAGCTCATAATTACCAAAGTTATGCTTCTACTCCACCATCGCATTTAATATTAGAGGTGTCATAATGCAGACAGTCTCTCTCTTGCATTGAGAGGAATTCGCCTTCAAAACTGCTTATGTATTTCTTCTTAACAACTAGAGAACCTTCCATTTAAGCAAAGAATTTAATCCACTCTGCTTTGGTCCAAAACAAACAGAGGAGTAGGAATCTTGAACATTTGTTCATTCAATCATTCATTCGTCCATTCATGCATTTATGTCACTCATTTGTTCATTCATTCATTCTGCCTGTTCTTTGTGTAACGTTGGGGGGGGGCTAAGTCAGCACACAATCATTTCATCGGGAGTCTGGTTTATATATAATTGCAAATCTGAATCAATTAATTTACTTAATCCATCGCGTTTTATATCGCTCGAAAGCACCTTGTGAACAGAACATGCAACTTTAGCAAGTCAGTCAATCAACCAGTTGCACCGTTGGCTAATTTAGCTTCTTCTCAAATGAGCCAAGAAGAATTGTAGCAGTCCTTTATTGAATAAAATGCTTTGGTCGCAAGTCTCTGAATCTCTTGCACATCCTACTAAAATGCCATTTTTCTAGCTAACCGTTTCTCTGCTGACTGCACTGTTTAATGGTTAGGAATATTTTTGCTGAAAGGTAATGACGGCAAATTTCTAACCACGTTGGAATTTGACCTCGCACCTATGAAAGAATGTCTTAGCGACGCTGTCCCTTAAGTACAGTGATTTCAGGATCCTGTCACTTCCTTTATGCTCAGAAATCAAATAGTGTACAGTGATGAATCATCAATCTGGCACACCGTATCTTTAAATGTAGCACAGAGATGAAATGATAAAGGAGTTCTGAGATTTTATGAAATTAGTACCCACTACGTAGTCAGGTTCATCACTTGTTTCTAGTACTGTCGGTAAACAGTGCGATATCTCACCTGCGAAACATATATTCCTTTCCGCCAAAACATTTCCTGTAATACCCGTGCCTTACGTCAGTCCTGCGCAAACGCTGTGGTACCAAAGAAATGCGAATAACTGTTAATTGAAAACTTGCAGTAGTGCTGGCTTCAACAAATAACGACGGTTAAATATCAGGCCCACCTAACGGGCAACTCCGTTCCCTTCTGAGAGCAGACATCCTCAATGGATATAAAGATTATGAAAACAATATCAACCCTGTTAGACCAATTGGTTTAGCATAAACAGCTATTCTTGCCCGTTTGGTTCTTGCATTGAAACCAAGCCACCTCGATGTCGGCATGCAACATCAGCGGAAAAGAGATGTTTCAATTATAGCTCATCCCTGTACGATGAAGTAACCGGTGAAAGACAATAAAACGTTGAATATTGAGAATACGGTAGAAATAAGGCACCATCATTGTTATTTCCCAAGAAGCCCTAATGTGTTGATTACAACAAACGGTGCAGAGGTACACACAAAGTTTGAACAGCAGAAATCTTTGACCAGAAGATCGCAAATTACTATTTTAAA